CTTTTTATTTCCACCCCCCCCCCCAAACCCTTTCATTTTTTTTAAAAAAAAAAAAATTTTCCCCCTTTCCTTTCCCCCTCCTTTTTCCCCCTCCCCCCCCCCCTTCCCCCCTTCTTTTCCCTCCCCCTTTTCCCTTTAAACCCCCCTTTTTCCCCTCCCTTCCCCTTTCCCAAAACTCCCCTTAAAAAAATTTTCCCCACACTTTTACCCCCCTTTTTTCCCCAAAAAATTTCCCATTTCTTTTTCCCCCCCCTTCTTATCCCAAAAACTTTCCCCAAATTTTTTCCCCCCTTTTTCCCCCCCTTTTTAACCTAAAAAATTTCCCCCCAAACCCCCCCCTTTCCAAAAAAAACTTTCCCCCTTTTTAAAATAAACCCCCCCCCCAAAAAAAAATTTTAAACCCCCTTCCCCAAAAAAAAACCCCCCGGGTTTTTCCTAAAAACAAACCCCAAAAACCCCAAAACCCCCTAAAATTCCCCCCAAAATTTTCCCAAAAATTTACCCACCCCCTCCAAAATAAAAAAAACCCCAATAACACAAAATTAAAACCCCAAAAAAAAAAAACAAAAACAAAAAATAAAAAAAAATTTAAAAAAAAAAATAACATAAACAAAAAACCAAACATAAAAACATAAATTAAAACAAAATACAAAAAAACAAAAAAAAATTTTAAACCCCAAAAGAAACCCAAAAAACACAAAAAAGGAACACAAAAATTTAACACAAAAAAAACAAAAAGGAAACACAAAAAAACACAAAACATAAACACAAACAAACAACGAAAAAAAACAAAAAAAAAAACAAACAAAACACAAAAAAAAAACAAAAAAAAAAAAAAAAAACAACAAACCCTAAAAAAAAAGAAACAAAAAAAAACAAAAACAAAAAAAAAAATTTTAAAACAAAAAAAAATTTTCCCCCCAAAAAAACCCCAAAACAAACACAAAAAAAAAAAAAAAAAACAAAAAAAACAAAAAAAACAAAACAAAAAAAAGAAAAAAAAAAAATTAAAAAAAAATAAAAAAAGAAAAAAGAAAAAAAAAAAAAGAAAACTAAAATTTTAAAAACAAAAAAGAAAACCAAAAAAGTAAAAACCCAATAAAAATAAATCTATAAAAAAAAACGGAAAAAAAATTATAAAACAAAGGGGGAAACCAAAAAAAAAAAAACTTTATGAAAGAAACAAAAACAAAAAGGGGGAAACCAAAAAGAAAAAAAAAAGGAAACAAAAAAATACCCTAAAAAAACTAAACGAAAAGGGGGAAAAAACAAAAAGGGGAAAAAAAAAGGAAAAAAAAAAAGGGAAAAAAAAAAAGGGAAAAAAAAAAAAAAAGAAAAAAAAAAAAAAAGGAAAATTAAAAGGGAAAAAAGGGGGAAAAAAAAAAAAGGGGGAAAAAAAAAAAAACCCAGGGGAAAAGGGGAAAGGGAAAAAAAAACCCCCGGGGGGGAAAAAAAAAAAAGGGGGGGGGGGGGGGGGGAAAAAAAAAACCCCCCGGGGGGGCCCCTTTCAAAACCTTGGGCCCCCAAAAAGGCCCCTTTTTCCCCCCCCAAACTTTCCCCTTTCCCCCCCTTTTTTCCCATTTTTTTTTCCCCCCCCTTTCCCCCAAAACTAAACAAATTTTTAAAAAACCCCCACCCCACCCCGGGCCAACCCCCCCCCCCCCCGGGCCCCCCCCCCTTCCCCCCAAACCCCCCCCCCGGGAAAAAAAAGGGGGCAAAACCCCCCCCTCTCCCCCCCCCCCCAAAACCCCCTCTTTTCCCCCGTTTCCCCCCCCCCCCCCCTCTTTCAACCCTCCCGCCCCCCCCTCTCCCTCCCCTTTATTTCCAACCCCTTCCCCCCTTTTTCTTCCCCCTTTTTTTGTCTGTCTGTTTCGTTGTCTTTCTTTTTTTTTTGTCTGTTTTTTTCCTTTTGTTTCTTTTTCGTTTTGGCAGGTTTAAAAAAAAGGTGAAAAAAAACCCCTGTTTTTTGATAAAAAGGGCCTTTTTGTAAAAACGGGGGAGATGCGTTTTTGGAAATTAGGATTGAAAATTCGGATGTGAATCGGTTACCGTGGGGTTTGGCTTTTAAAAAATGAAGGTTAATTTTCCGGGTTTTTTTTGGGTTTTTTGTTTTTTTTTTTAAAAATTTCTTTAAACCCTTAATACAAAGGTGTTTTTTAAAAAAAACTAAATTTCCCCCCGGGGTTCCCTTTTTTGGATGAAATTTTTGAGTTTTTTTTTTCTGAAAAAATTACCTTGGGAACCCCCCCCCCTTTATTTTTTTTTTATTTTACCTTAAAAATTTGGCAGAGCAGTAGGTGATTGGTGCAACATTGTAGCCCTAGTACCAATAACAACAGTAGAGTGAAGGCTTTGCTCCTAATTCCTCTTGAAAAGTAGAAACATCAAGTACAAAAGCAAGGAAGTTGGGCCATATGTTTATAAAGAAAGAAGTAAAGATGACAGGACAGTTTTGAGTAGAACATCAGCAGTTTGAAGAATAGCTGAGTGGGAATATGTTACTGTCATTGCAGTCATCAAGTCAGGAAAAAGTAGTAATCTCATTATTGTTTACATTTCAAACCAAACTCCAATTTGTTTACAACAGACCCAACAACAAAGCATGGCAATTCCCACTCAGCTACCCTGGTCTGTATTAGGCTACCACTGTTCAGCTATCGTGAAAACCACTAAAGTTCTAAAGTGTTCTCTTAGCAATGGCAATCAAAGCTGTGGTAACATTAAACGAGTAAAACATGTGTTGAACGGAACCTTGAACAAGTTCAACAGAACTTTGAACGTGTCACTTAATCTAGTCCTACTCTCAGCTGGTGTGGTGGCTTTAGTTTCTTCATTGAGCGGTAGCAGTGGGCTCTCACAGAGATCTCATTTGTAGCCCTGTTTTTACCTGATACTTTCATAAAAGTACAAACACATGAAGTGAAAGGTATATACACATGATTAAACTTTATTTAAAGCATGATTAACCTGAAGCAGGACGGAGTCATGACTTAAAACACCAAAGCAAGGCTTCTAGCTCAGGCTAGCTAGCGTTAGCATATTACCTTCAAAGTTGCAAAGAAAATAAGAAACGTTACATTTGAAGCCTTTATCCAGTTTGCTACGTGGTGTCGTACTGGATGTCCGGACGACCCTCCGTATATCATTAACAGATACTTTAGGCAACTCCAGCAAACACCTTGTAAACTCCAACAAACACCTTGTAACCGGAAATGCCCAAGCATCCTTACCCCAATGCGGAAGTGATGCGTGCATAGAGCCTATTGATGTACAATACAGGCCCATGATATTATCACTATCTCTCATAACAGCATAAACACTTTGGATAAAATGTTATTGCTCTCAAAGCCAGTTTCAGGAACTGTAACCCCATGAATGTACTGTGTATAGATGAACAGTTTATAAAACACTCCATCTGAGCCGTGTTCCTCTCTAGGTTCCTTCCTCAGCCTGGTTCCTCTCTAGGTTCCTTCCTCTGAGCCTGGTTCCTCACTAGGTTCTTCCCTCAGCCTGGTTCCTCTCTAGGTTCCTTCCTCTGAGCCTGGTTCCTCTCTAGGTTCCTCCCTCTGAGCCTGGTCCTCTCCAGGTTCCTTCCTCTGAGCTTGGTTCCTCTCTAGGTTCCTTGCTCTGAGCCTGGTTCCTCTCTAGGTTCCTTCCTCAGCCTGGTTCCTCTCTAGGTTCCTTCCTCTGAGCCTGGTTCCTCACTAGGTTTTTCCCTCAGCCTGGTTCCTCTCTAGGTCCCTTCCTCTGAGCCTGGTACCTCTCTAGGTTCCTCCCTCATCCTGGTTCCTCTCTAGGTTCCTCCCTCTGAGCCTGGTTCCTCTCCAGGTTCCTTCCTCTGAGCTTGGTTCCTCTCTAGGTTCCTTCCTCTGAGCCTGGTTCCTCTCTAGGTTCCTCCCTCTGAGCCTGGTTCCTCTCTAGGTTCCTTCCTCAGCCTGGGTCCTCTCTAGGTTCCTTCCTCTGAGCCTGGTTCCTCACTAGGTCCTTCCCTCAGCCTGTTTCCTCTCTAGGTTCCTTCCTCTGAGCCTGGTACGTCTCTAGGTTCCTCCCTCAGCCTGGTTCCTCCCTCTGAGCCTGGTTCCTCTCTCGGTTCCTTCCTCTGAGCCTGGTTCCTCTCTAGGTTCCTCCCTCTGAGCCTGGTTCCTCTCTAGGTTCCTTCCTCTGAGCCTAGTTCCTTTCTAGGTTCCTCCTGCTGAGCCTGGATCCTCTCTAGGTTCCTCCCTCTGAGCCTGGTTCCTCTCTCGGTTCCTTCCTCTGAGCCTGGTTCCTCTCTAGGTTCCTTCCTCTGAGCTTGGTTCCTCTCTAGGAACAGGACCAGCTGCCTGTAGACCACTGGTATCAGTCCCACCCAAAGACTCTAGCTGTGCCATTAGAGATCCTGGTTCGAATCCAGGCTCTGCCGCGACCGGGAGACCCATGGGCGGCGCACAATTGGTCCAGCGTCATCCAAGGTAGGGGAGGGTTTAACTGGCAGGGATGTGGGTTCGTTTCCCACGGGGGGCCAGTATGAAAAAATAAATAAACATGTATGCATTCACTAACTGTAAATCGCTCTGGATAAGAGCGTCTGCTAAATGACTAAAATGTAAAAAAAAAAGTAATTAATATAAACATCATGGATTATATAATGGAGCTGTGATGAGGGTAGGGGTAGAGGATGGTGCAAGGCCCAAAGCAGAACACATATATTGGAGTTTATAATGCTGCCCCTTTGCTTAAATAGTTGGGACACATTTAAAGTTACTTATAGGCCAGTGTGCATAGAGTAAATATAAATAATTACAATAGTAATATTAGAACTGTGGAAGTCTGTTAACCCCCAGATATGTCAATCAACAATGAGAGTAACTAGTGGAAGGTTAACTGTAGAGGCTCCTCCCTCTGGTCCTCCCTGTGTGTCTCCTTATAGGTGGGTCCTGCAGCTTCTCCTCTCCTCACACACCAACCCTGTTCATCTCTCAGCTGGACAGTAAGGGCCGTTCACACCACACACTGACAACATGCTGGGGACACTCTGCACTCTCATCACTGCTCTAACATGTAAGGAGTCTGACTTCCTGGAGGTTTTACTTCATGTTTTATTAATAATGAGTCTGTATGTTTCTCTTTACTACATGTCATCTTCTTATTTCCCAGGTGTCAGTGGTGTGACTGTGGTGACACAGAAGCCTCCTGTTGTGACGGTCAGGAAAGGAGACACGGCCACTATGGACTGTAACCTGGGGACTGTTGATAATAGTGCTCGTTGGTACAAACAGGTTGCAGGAGGAGTCCCTCAGTATGTTTTACAGTGGTACTACTATAATTGGACCTCTATAAAATATGGCTCCGGTTTCTCCTCTCCTAAATTCACATCTAATCATCAGTCTATATCAGATTATCATTTGATTATTAATAATGTGGAGGAGGAAGACTCAGCAGTGTATCACTGTAAGACAAATGACTACTCTGTTGACGAGTGGGTATCACAGTGATATACACCATGAAAAAAACAAGCTCCCCAAATACACTCACTTCCGCTTCATACGTGGCAGAGGGGTGAACTCTAAGAAACAGCAGTTGAAGTTGATCAGTCATTATCAGTCATTTACATTTTACATTTACGTCATTTAGCAGACGCTCTTATCCAGAGCGACTTACAGTTAGTGAGTGCATACATTATTTTTTTATACTGGTCCCCCGTGGGAATCAAACCCACAACCCTGGCATTGCAAACACCATGCTCTACCAACTGAGCTACACCCCTGCCGGCCATTCCCTCCCCTACCCTGGACGACGCTGGGCCAATTGTGCGCCGCCCCATTGGTCTCCCGGTCGCGGCCGGTTACGACAGAGCCTGGATTCGAACCAGGATCTCTAGTGACACAGCTTACACTGCGCTGCAGTGCCTTAGACCACTGCGCCACTCGGGTCATTATTATAACAATATATACATGACAAATGTATATATTGACAAATGGGAGATCTGGATGTATACATGACAAATGTATACATGACAAATGGGAGATCTGGAAATGGAAGAATCATCCATCCCTACATGTCAAAACGATCATAAGAAGACTGTGAAAAGAGATTAGGCCTTTCTCGATTTAATCATCATCAAGTCAAGACTGCATCATATAGATAGTGCTTTAACTGATGGATTCAAAAGGACCAGACACCAACAGCAGAATATGATGCTATACTATATACTGTTACTTCATAGAGAGAAACTCTAGAAAAGCCTGAGATGTTTGAAGAGAGAGTGAAGCTGTATCTGAATGGGATGTTTCAGTTCCTGTCCTCTCAGTAGTGAGAGTGAGGAGTTTTTTGTACGGCCGTGTATACAAACTGAAACACTGTGGTATTCGGACCAGGAACCAAGCTGATTGTTACTGGTGAGTACCCTTCTAATGTTTTAATCTACAGAATATGCTTTGTTTCTAATATAATGTTGGTCAGATATATATATTTTTTTATGTTTTAATTCATAAAATTGAATTTATATTATATATTTACTGATTTAATATTTTGCACCTGCTTTAATCCTGTCTTGTATGTTGTTTGTAAATTATTTAGAAAACATTTTGACAGTGTGAATGCCTGCTATGTTCATGTTTTATCATGCATATCTTGTGTTTTTGTTGTCTATGTAGATCCATGCAAAGGAGATATTTAATCTCCAAAAATGTTATCCAGTTCAATTTCTTAGACAAATATATATATATTTATTTATTTTTATATTCCATTTGCTTGTGAATTATTTGTATTTTATATTTACAATGTGCACATTTCGTTCAGCTTTTAGCATTTGAGTCTTCCAAGACTGTGATGTAATATTGTAATTAATGTATCCAGAAATTGCTCTGTCTCTCTGCTCCATGGGAAAATCACATTTTAACACCGTATGATTACTTCTATCAATATAATTGTGAACATAATGAACAGCAGTTCTATATTTAATTGCTTCATCAGTTTCCTCTTAATGCAGGGTGTACTGGTAATGATACCAACATCTACTGAAATATAAACTGTTATAAAATCTGTTCCCTTCTCATCCCATCCATTGACTATTTTCTAATCTAGATGGAGATCTTTCTACACCTGCTGTGACCCTGTTCCCTCCATCCACTGAAGACCTCAAGTCCAGCAGAGCAACGCTAGTGTGTCTGGCCAGTAACCTGTCTCAGAGGTCCAAGGGGTTACAGATGTCAGCTGGATGTCTAACGGTGAATCAGTGACAGAATATATTTCTACCAGTCCTGCTGAGCAGCAACCAGACAAAACCTTCAAGATCAGCAGCTATCTGACCATTCAGACTGCAGAGTGGGACAAGGACGTGGTGTTCACATGTAAAGTGTCGTTGGGGTCAACATTCTCTGAGAAAGAGATCAGAAAGACTATTTGCAGTCTGTAAAGCAATAGTTTCAATATTTAATGAGTGCAGTTGGTAGTTTATAGCTTTTAAGTGATGTTTTGATCATTGCTTTGCTGTCAAATATAGGAGTTAAAATCCAAACAACATGGGTGATATTTGGCTGAAGTCTGAATGCAGCAGTGAATAGTATAACAATAACCAATGTAATGTCAAATAGTTGTTTAGGGTTGTTTCTCATGACAAGTTACTATTGATGCATTCACTGTACGAGCATCATGTTCTCTAAAACATAACATCTGAAATACTGTCATGATGAGTAGACCTCTCTACTATTGGGAAATGAGTTGAATTACTAATGATGAATAGAGGAAATGTTATAGCTTTGCTGTATTGTGGATATTCAATAAAGAGCATTCCAAAGAACAAGTGTTTGTATTTGAGCATGTTGATGAGCATCAGTGTTAGCAGCACTAAATGAGGGGGAATCAGGAGAATCATTGTTTAAATTGAACCAAGACAGAGGAGCCCAGAATCCTTACCAGGTTTACTATCATAACAAGGATTCTGACCAACCAGAGATGACCTAGCAGTTTACTGTAGCATCCAGGTATTTCAGACTAGAACACCGGCCTCCATGTTAACTGAGGATGCAGGAATGAGAGGTCAGTGTTTCTTGGGGTTGTACTCATTCTTCTTCTTCCTCCAAACACGGCGAGTGGAGTTTAGACCCAAAAGCTCTATTTATGTCTCATCAGACCACATGACCTTCTCCCATTCCTCCTCTGGATCATCCAGATGGTCATTGGCAAACTTCAGACGGACCTGGACATGCGCTGGCTTGAGCAGGGGGACCTTGCTTGCACTGCAGGATTTTAATCCATGACGGCGTAGTGTGTTACTAATGGTTTTCTTTGAGACTGTGGTCCCAGCTCTCTTCAGTCATTGACCAGGTCCTGCCGTGTAGTTCTGGGCTGATCCCTCACCTTCCTCATGATCATTGATGCCCCACGAGGTGAGATCTTGCATGGAGCCCCAGACCGAGGTTGATTGACCGTCATCTTGAACTTCTTCCATTTTCTAATAGTTGCGCCAACAGTTGTTGCCTTCTCACCAAGCTGCTTGCCTATTGTCCTGTAGCCCATCCCAGCCTTGTGCAGGTCTACAATTGTATCTCTGATGTCCTTACACAGCTCTCTGGTCTTGGCCATTGTGGAGAGGTTGGAGTCTGTTTGATTGAGTGTGTGGACAGGTGTCTTTTATACAGGTAACGAGTTCAAACAGGTGCAGTTAGTACAGGTAATGAGTGGAGAACAGGGGGGCTTCTTAAAGAAAAACTAACAGGTCTGTGAGAGCTGGAATTCTTACTGGTTGGTAGGTGATCAAATACTTATGTCATGCAATAAAATGCAAATTAATTACTTAAAAATCATACAATGTGATTTTCTCGATTTTTGTTTTAGATTCCGTCTCTCACAGTTGAAGTGTACCTATGATAAAAATCACAGACCTCTACATGCTTTGTAAGTAGGAAAACCAGCAAAATCGGCAGTGTATCAAATACTTGTTCTCCCCACTGTAGCTGGTGATTGGTTACCTATAGACATAGCTGGTGATTGGTTACCTATAGACATAGCTGGTGATTGGTTACCTATAGACATAGCTGGTGATTGGTTACCTATAGACATAGCTGCGCGAAGTATGGGTGCTGAGGGTGCTGCAAAAAGTCAAAATAAATAATACATTTAAAAAAAGAAATATCCCCATCAGAGAAAAACTGAATGGGATGTTTCAGTTCCTGTCCTCTCAGTAGTAAGAGTGAGGAGTTTTTTGTACGGCCGTGTATACAAACTGAAACACTGTGGTATTCGGACCAGGAACCAAGCTGATTGTTACTGGTGAGTACCCTTCTAATGTTTTAATCTACAGAATATGCTTTGTTTCTAATATAATGTTGGTCAGATATATATATTTTTTTATGTTTTAATTCATAAAATTGAATTTATATTATATATTTACTGATTTAATATTTTGCACCTGCTTTAATCCTGTCTTGTATGTTGTTTGTAAATTATTTAGAAAACATTTTGACAGTGTGAATGCCTGCTATGTTCATGTTTTATCATGCATATCTTGTGTTTTTGTTGTCTATGTAGATCCATGCAAAGGAGATATTTAATCTCCAAAAATGTTATCCAGTTCAATTTCTTAGACAAATATATATATATTTATTTATTTTTATATTCCATTTGCTTGTGAATTATTTGTATTTTATATTTACAATGTGCACATTTCGTTCAGCTTTTAGCATTTGAGTCTTCCAAGACTGTGATGTAATATTGTAATTAATGTATCCAGAAATTGCTCTGTCTCTCTGCTCCATGGGAAAATCACATTTTAACACCGTATGATTACTTCTATCAATATAATTGTGAACATAATGAACAGCAGTTCTATATTTAATTGCTTCATCAGTTTCCTCTTAATGCAGGGTGTACTGGTAATGATACCAACATCTACTGAAATATAAACTGTTATAAAATCTGTTCCCTTCTCATCCCATCCATTGACTATTTTCTAATCTAGATGGAGATCTTTCTACACCTGCTGTGACCCTGTTCCCTCCATCCACTGAAGACCTCAAGTCCAGCAGAGCAACGCTAGTGTGTCTGGCCAGTAACCTGTCTCAGAGGTCCAAGGGGTTACAGATGTCAGCTGGATGTCTAACGGTGAATCAGTGACAGAATATATTTCTACCAGTCCTGCTGAGCAGCAACCAGACAAAACCTTCAAGATCAGCAGCTATCTGACCATTCAGACTGCAGAGTGGGACAAGGACGTGGTGTTCACATGTAAAGTGTCGTTGGGGTCAACATTCTCTGAGAAAGAGATCAGAAAGACTATTTGCAGTCTGTAAAGCAATAGTTTCAATATTTAATGAGTGCAGTTGGTAGTTTATAGCTTTTAAGTGATGTTTTGATCATTGCTTTGCTGTCAAATATAGGAGTTAAAATCCAAACAACATGGGTGATATTTGGCTGAAGTCTGAATGCAGCAGTGAATAGTATAACAATAACCAATGTAATGTCAAATAGTTGTTTAGGGTTGTTTCTCATGACAAGTTACTATTGATGCATTCACTGTACGAGCATCATGTTCTCTACATTTACATTACATTTTAGTTATTTAGCAGACGCTCTTAACCAGAGCGACTTACAGGAGCAATTAGGGTTAAGTGCCTTGCTCAAGGGCACATTAACGTCATTTAGCAGACGCTCTTAGCCAGAGCGACTCACAAATTGGTGCGTTCACCCTATAGCCAGTGGGATAACCACTTTACAATTTGGGGGGGGGGGGGGGGGGGGGGGTGGGGGGGGGGGGGGGGGGGGGTTAGAAGGAATACTTTAGCCTATCCCAGGTATTCCTTAAAGAGGTGGGGTTTCAAATGTCTCCGGAAGGTGGTGAGTGACTCCGCTGTCCTGGCGTCGTGAGGGAGCTTGTTCCACCATTGGGGTGCCAGAGCAGCGAACAGTTTTGACTGGGCTGAGGGGGAGCTGTGCTTCCGCAGAGGAAGGGGAGCCAGCAGGCCAGAGGTGGATGAACGCAATGTCCTCGTTTGGGTGTAGGGACTGATCAGAGCCTGTAAAACATAACATCTGAAATACTGTCATGATGAGTAGACCTCTCTACTATTGGGAAATGAGTTGAATTACTAATGATGAATAGAGGAAATGTTATAGCTTTGCTGTATTGTGGATATTCAATAAAGAGCATTCCAAAGAACAAGTGTTTGTATTTGAGCATGTTGATGAGCATCAGTGTTAGCAGCACTAAATGAGGGGGAATCAGGAGAATCATTGTTTAAATTGAACCAAGACAGAGGAGCCCAGAATCCTTACCAGGTTTACTATCATAACAAGGATTCTGACCAACCAGAGATGACCTAGCAGTTTACTGTAGCATCCAGGTATTTCAGACTAGAACACCGGCCTCCATGTTAACTGAGGATGCAGGAATGAGAGGTCAGTGTTTCTTGGGGTTGTACTCATTCTTCTTCTTCCTCCAAACACGGCGAGTGGAGTTTAGACCCAAAAGCTCTATTTATGTCTCATCAGACCACATGACCTTCTCCCATTCCTCCTCTGGATCATCCAGATGGTCATTGGCAAACTTCAGACGGACCTGGACATGCGCTGGCTTGAGCAGGGGGACCTTGCTTGCACTGCAGGATTTTAATCCATGACGGCGTAGTGTGTTACTAATGGTTTTCTTTGAGACTGTGGTCCCAGCTCTCTTCAGGTCATTGACCAGGTCCTGCCGTGTAGTTCTGGGCTGATCCCTCACCTTCCTCATGATCATTGATGCCCCACGAGGTGAGATCTTGCATGGAGCCCCAGACCGAGGTTGATTGACCGTCATCTTGAACTTCTTCCATTTTCTAATAGTTGCGCCAACAGTTGTTGCCTTCTCACCAAGCTGCTTGCCTATTGTCCTGTAGCCCATCCCAGCCTTGTGCAGGTCTACAATTGTATCTCTGATGTCCTTACACAGCTCTCTGGTCTTGGCCATTGTGGAGAGGTTGGAGTCTGTTTGATTGAGTGTGTGGACAGGTGTCTTTTATACAGGTAACGAGTTCAAACAGGTGCAGTTAGTACAGGTAATGAGTGGAGAACAGGGGGGCTTCTTAAAGAAAAACTAACAGGTCTGTGAGAGCTGGAATTCTTACTGGTTGGTAGGTGATCAAATACTTATGTCATGCAATAAAATGCAAATTAATTACTTAAAAATCATACAATGTGATTTTCTCGATTTTTGTTTTAGATTCCGTCTCTCACAGTTGAAGTGTACCTATGATAAAAATCACAGACCTCTACATGCTTTGTAAGTAGGAAAACCAGCAAAATCGGCAGTGTATCAAATACTTGTTCTCCCCACTGTAGCTGGTGATTGGTTACCTATAGACATAGCTGGTGATTGGTTACCTATAGACATAGCTGGTGATTGGTTACCTATAGACATAGCTGGTGATTGGTTACCTATAGACATAGCTGCGCGAAGTATGGGTGCTGAGGGTGCTGCAAAAAGTCAAAATAAATAATACATTTAAAAAAAGAAATATCCCCATCAGAGAAAAACTGAATGGAATGTTTCAGTTCCTGTCCTCTAGGTAGTGAGAGGGATGCTCTGTCTAAATGGGATGTTTCAGTTCCTGTCCTCTCGGTATTGAGAGGGATGCTCTGTCTAAATGGGATATTTCAGTTCTTGTCCTCTCAGTAGTGAGAGGGATGCTCTGTCTAAATGGGATGTTCCAGTTCCTGTCCTCTCGGTATTGAGAGGGATGCTCTGTCTAAATGGGATATTTCAGTTCCTGTCCTCTCAGTAGTGAAAGTGATGCTCTGTCTAAATGGGATGTTTCAGTTCCTGTCCTCTCGGTATTGAGAGGGATGCTCTCTCTAAATGGGATGTTTCAGTTCCTGTCCTCTCGGTAGTGGTAGCCATGCTGGTTAAGTGTGCCTTGAATTCTAAATAAATCATAGACAGTGTCACCAGCAAAGCACCCCCACCCCATAACACCTCCTCCTCCATGCTTTACGGTGGGAAATACACATGCGGAGATCATCCGTTCACCCACACCGCGTCTCACAAAGACATGGCGGTTGGAACCAAAAATCTCAAATTTGGAGTCAAGACCAAAGGACAAATTTCCACCGGTCTATTGTCCATTGCTCGTGTTTCTTGGCCCAAGGAAGTCTCTTCTTATTATTGGTGTCCTTTAGTAGTGGATTATTTGCAGTAATTCGACCATGAAGGCCTGATTCACACAGTCTCCTCTGAACAGTTGATGTTGAGATATGTCTGTTACTTTAAATCTGTAAAGCATTTATTTGGGCTGCAATTTCTGAGGCTGGTAACTCTAATGAACTTATCCTCTGCAGCAGAGGTAACTCTGGGTCTTCCATTCCTGTGGCGGTCCTCATGAGAGCCAGTTTCATCATAGCGCTTGATGGTTTTTGCGACTGCACTTGAAGAAACTTTAAAAGTTCTTGACATTTTCCGTATTGACTGACCTTTATGTCTTAAAGTAATGATGGACTGTTGTTTCTTTTTGCTTATTTGAGCTGTTCTTGCCATAATATGGACTTGGTACCAAATATGGCTATCTTCTGTATACCCCCCTACCTTGTCACAACACAACTGATTGGCTCAAACACATTAAGAAGGAAAGAAATTCCACAAATTAGCTTTTAAGAAGGCACACCTGTTAATTGAAATGCATTCCAGGTGACTACCTCATTACATTTTAAATTTTAGTCATTTAGCAGACGCTCTCATCCAGAGCGACTTACAGTTAGTGAGTGCATACATTTTCATACTGGCCCCCCGTGGGAAACGAACCCACAACCCTGGCGTTGCAAGCGCCATGCTCTACCAACTGACCTACAGGGGACTCATGAAGCTGTTTGAGAGAATGCCAAGAGTGTGCAAAGCTGTCATCAAGGCAATGTCACAATGCGTAGTTAAGGGACGGTAGATGAAGCGTTCGTGGAGTGACATCCTTTTTATTTAAACCAATCACACTATAATTATTATTATTTATTTTTTTTATTTTTTTTGGGGGGGATGGATCAGCTTAATATTGCAGATAGATTGTATCTATCTGCAGATAGATTGTATCACACTATAAGTTATCAAAAATAAACAAGGAGAGAAAAGCACCAAGTGACTTACGTGCTGTGAACACAATTGCAGACAGGCACAAACACGAACAATAATCCACACACAGGTGGATGTGAGAGGTGCCTAAATACTATCCCCAATCAGAGACAAACTCTAGACAGCTGTCTCTGATTGGGGGTCATAAACCAGCCCTAGTTATGATGTGAGGACTTGACTGTGGTCCTACACCAGCTGATGGTTTCATGTCTACTATCTGTAGTTATCAGAGTAATTCACCAGGGACGTGTTCTAGCTCTGACACTGAGTTACAGGCAGTGATGTGTTTCTCTCTTTCTTTCTCCCCCAGGACACACCTGCTTCCCCTCCCCTCCTCCTCCCCTCCTCCTCCCCCCCTCCTCTCCTTATTTATAGCTTCATGTAAATGAAGAGGTTATTTTATCTCCTCTCAGAACTGTGTGGGGGGGGAGAGGACTGAAACTGAGACTGTGTCCCTAATCATGGCTACCCGGACTATTTGCACTGCCCCCCACCCCCCCACCCCATCTTTTTACGCAACTGCTACTCTGTTAATTATTTATGCATAGTCACTTTAACTCTACCCACATGTACATATTACCTCAACTACCTCAACTAGCCGGTGCCCCCGCACATTGACTCTGCACCGGTACCCCCCTGTATATAGCCTCCCTACTGTTATTTTATTTTACTTCTGCTCTTTTTTTCTCAACACTTTTTTGTTGTTGTTGTTTTATTTTACTTTTTTATAAAAAAATAAATGCATTGTTGGTTAAGGGCTGTAAGTAAGCATTTCACTGTAATGTCTACACCTGTTGTATTCGGCGCATGTGGCAAATAAAACTTGATTTGATTTGGTTTGATTTGATTTAATGGCGCTCTATTCCCTTTAAAGTGCACCACATTTGACAAAGGTTCATTGGGTTCTGATAAATATAAATAAAGATCAGTCATCATTATGTTGGTCCTATGTAGAACTAGTATAGGATATTAAACTCCAGTTATGGTTTGATGGAGGTAGAATATGAGTCAGTGAATAAGACAGGACCTCACGTAGAGCAATGATCATACTAGTTGGTCTCTCATACAATCTGGTTACTTTAACCATTCAGAGAAATGACAATGAAAAATAATTATTATATATATATATATGATATATAACATTATTATTTTAAGATCTGTCTGTTGGTCTTGTGAAGCCCCAGATATGTCAATCAACAATGAGAGTAGCTGGTGATAGGTTAACTGTAGAGGCCCCTCCCTCTGGTCCTCCCTGTCTCTCCTTATAGGTGAGTCCTGCAGCTTCTCCTCTCCTCACACACCAACCCTGTTCATCTCTCAGCTGGACAGTAAGGGCCGTTCACACCACACACTGACAACATGCTGGGGACACTCTGCACTCTCATCACTGCTCTAACATGTAAGGAGTCTGACTTCCTGGAGGTTTTACTTCATGTTTTATTAATAATGAGTCTGTATGTTTCTCTTTACTACATGTCATCTTCTTATTTCCCAGGTGTCAGTGGTGTGACTGTGGTGACACAGAAGCCTCCTGTTGTGACGGTGAGGAAAGGAGACACGGCCACTATGGACTGTAACCTGGGGACTGTTGAGAATAGTGGTGCTCGTTGGTACAAACAGGTTCCAGGAGGAGTCCCTCAGTTTGTTTTATATTTCTACCACACTAATAGTGCTCCTACCTATGGCTCTGGTTTCTCCTCTCCTAAATTCACATCTAATCATCAGTCTAAATCCGATTATCGTTTGATTATTAACACTGTGGAGGAGTCCGACTCAGCAGTGTATTACTGCCAGACATATGACAGCTCTGTTAAAGAGTATGTATCACAGTGATATACACCATGACAAAAACCTCCTCCCCAAATACACTCACTTCTGATTCATGTGAGGCAGAGGGGTGAACTCTAAGAAACAGCAGTTGAAGTTGATCAGTGATTATTATAACAATATATACATGACACAATTGGAGATCTGGAAATGGAAGAATCATCCATCTCTACATGTCAAAAAGAGCATAAGAAGACATTGTCTGAAAGGAAACTGATGTTGGCTCTCTTGGTGTGATCATCATCTTCATCATCATCATCACCATCATCATCATCATCATCATCATCATTATATCATCATCACCATCACCATCACCATCACATCACCATCATCATCATCATGATCATCATCATCATCATCAACAACATTATATCACCATCACCATCATCATCATTATATCACCATCATCATCATCATCATCATTATATCACCATCATCATCATCATCATCACCACCATCATCACCACCACCACCATCATCATTATATCATCATCATCAACAACAACAACATCATCATCATCATCATCATCATACTCATCATCCATCATCACCACCAACATCATCATCAAGTCAGACTGCATCACATAGATAGTGCATTAACTCATGGATTCAAAAGGACCAGACACCAACAGCAGAATATGATGTTATACTATATATTGTTACTTCATAGAGAGAAACTCTAGAAAAGCCTGAGATGTTTGAAGAGAGAGTGAAGCTGTATCTGAATGGGATGTTTCAGTTCCTGTCCTCTCAGTAGTGAGAGTGAGGAGGTTTTTGTACGGCCATGAACACAAACTGAATCACTGTGGTATTCGGACCAGGAACCAAGCTCATTGTCACTGGTGAGTTCCCTTTATTTTAACCTTATATTTTTGTTTTCAAGGGTTTGTAATGCATCATAGTTAATAGAGTTAAAGTATGTAACATGATATTCTTACTTCATAATTATTTAATGTAAATAACCTACTTTGTGTACTGATTATCAAGGGTCATGGACACAATGTGACAACTTCATAGCCTACAGTATATCTGTAGTTGTTGATTTCTCATTTAAACTAAAAAAAATGTATTGCACTATTTGACCATGTAGGTTATTGCTGTCACTTGACAACACTACTCATTTATAATGTCTCATACAATAATAATCTATTTAGTCAGAGGTAGAATTGAATGTGAAGGATACATAAAGTTGTATCAACCTTTAAAATGTTGGTCCCATGTTATATTAAATAATGATAAAACCATGTATATGGTAGTTACAGACAATGTTGCTACATGATTAATGACATTGTAGGCTACTACATTACAGTTGGTAACTCTGTTTTCTGGTTGAATAAGTAGGAGGATATACATTTGATTTTAAGCACATCTGACTACTTGATTATGTTTAAAGTTAGAGATCTAAACTCATTATTCACTTGCACAGAAATATGCTTTGCCTCCGCAAAGTCACACATTGGGAGTTTCTTAGAAAGTTTCAAAATAAGGCAAGCTACAAACAGACATAATGTGCAACATGTAACAATAGAATTACATGGTTTCATTTTTTATTCTACAGTATGATGCACACAACCCTGTTTCATTCTACTAACATATTTAATGACTTTGTGTAGCCTAATGTTTCTTCTGCTCATTCCATTGGTCCAGGCTCTACCCTCCCTCCTCCTGTCTTGACCATCCTCCCCCCGTCCAGTGTTGAGTTGAAGTCCAGCAAAGTCACCCTGGTGTGTCTGGCTAGTCAGATGGCCATGGGCTACGCTGATGTGAGCTGGACAGCGGGAGGGAATCCGGTCACCAGCGGCATCGCTACGAGTGGCCCCGTGCCGCAAGCCGACAAGACGTTCCAACTCAGCAGCTGTCTGACGGTTGACACGTCAGAATGGAACCAGGACAAAGTGTTCTCATGTAAAGTCACCGCGGGCTCCAAGTTCGCTGAGAAAGGCATCAAGAAGTCTGAATGCAGCACTGAATAGTTTGAGAACCATTGTAATGTCAATTTGATATTCTACATCGCTTTTCAAGTTATTGTTAATGCATCAGAAGGTTTACCTGCATAGATACACTCGGGTCCAAAAAAGAGAGAAATTGCTACTAATACTGATATCATAGGCTAGGCTATATGATAAGTAGACTCTGTATATTTGAAATGTGTTGCTTTGCAGATTTATAATAGAGGAATTGTTAGAGCTTTGCTGTATTGTGGATATTCAATAAAGAGCATTGTAAAGAACAAGTGTTTGTATTTGAGCATGTTGATGAGCATCATTGTTAGTAGCACTAAATGAGGGGGAATTTAACTGAACCCAAATACAGTAGCCTGCTCTCTGACATTTGTCCAGATCCAGAAATTGTTGATCAACTATCCAGGATGTAGGGCATGTTTACTGTAATGTTAATGAATAACCAGAGATGGACCAGAGGTTTAGTTTATATTAGAACTTCACATTATTGAGAACCTTTCATTAGTACGATATGATTGTATTATAAGATTATTCTAAAAGTACCTATTTAATAATCATCCATATCTATATATATATAAAAAAAACTGTTCATTTGTAAAGAAAGCATGTGATTGGGGATCACGTTATTTCCTGGCTAATTTTCTTGTACTATCATATTTCTCTGTATGATGAATTAAAAGAACAGTACAATAGCATGATATATTCAATATATTCATAGTTTATAGTTACAATATTCAATAGTGTTATAAACTTGATTCTTACTACGGTGTACAATAACATTTTAGTCATTAATATCTTTGCCAGCAGGTGGAAAGAGAAGATAGAATCATATTGTAATATGCTGCCACCTTGTGGCTCAATAAGTTTGAATATGCTGCCACGTTGTGCCTGAAAGAGCTGTATTTCAACAGTATATACTGAGTGGACAAATCATTAGGAACATCTGCTATTTCCATGCCATAGACTGACCAGGTGAATCCAGGTTAAAGCTATGATCTCTTATTGATGTCACCTGTTAGATCCACTTAATCAGTGTAGATGAAGGGGAGGAGACAGGTTAAAGAAGGATTTTCAAGCCTTGAGACAATTGAGGCATGGATTGTGCATGTGTATATTTGCCAGCAGGGAGAAAGAGTTTATTTCAACAGTTTATTTGTAAAGTAGTCCTGTAGTACCTTACTCTGTATTTGCAGTATTTACAGATACTATACGTGCATATATTGTGTATGGATACACTTCTTATAATATGAGATGATGAATCCAATGATTAGAACATTTCTAGACTACACTATGTCCATCACACATCATCAACACACACCTTCAATATCAAATCAATCACCAATGATCATGTTATTGATAGTTAGTGTACAGTAGCTCTGTTGTCAGTACAAAGCTTTCATCAGTTCTGTGTTGATCTGGTTCAGAGAAGAGTGTAGTGATATAGTTGAGACTATATTAGTCCTGAAGGGCTGTCCACACCAAGGATGATAGATATAATGATAACTGTAATGATAAACGATTCATAACTATAAAACATCGTTTATCGTTGTACAGTACACCTGTCAATCATCTGATTAAGGTTTAGGGACCCTCCTTCCTCTAGTCCCCATGGACACTGGACCCGTGCCGTTTCCCCGCTCTGGATTCCTCATCTGTACCCTCATCTGTGCCCTTGGTGGTGCCCTCACCTCTCCCCTTAACGGTGCCCTCAGTGGCATCCTCAGCGGAGGCCAGGGAGTGACCCTCCGTATGGGGCATTGAGGGGTCCACACAGGGGGGCGGGGGAGTTTCCCAGCCTGCAGGTCGTCTACGAAGCCCTCCACCCTGTCGAACTTGGAGCTGAGCCTTCTCAGCTCATCCTTCAGAGAGTTGAAACTGCTTGTAGAGGTCCCCCAGGGCCTCAGACAGGGGCTGAATCCTGCAGAGGAGAGAGAGAGAGAGAGATAGAGAGAGAGAGAGATAGAGAGAGAGATAGAGAGAGAGAATGAGAGAGCGAGGAGAAGAGCCAGAGAGATAGATAGAGAGACTCAGCTTCTCTTTTTTTCTCTCTCTCTCTCTCTCTATCTCTCTTCTCTCTCGCTCTCTCTCTCTCTCCTCTCGCTCTCTCCGCTCTCTTCTCTCTCTCTCTCTCTCTCTCCCTCTTCTCTCTCTCTCTCTCTCTCTCCGTCCTCCTCTCTCTCTTCTCCTCTCTCTCTCTCTCTCTCTCTCTCTCTCCTCTCCTCTCTCTCTCCTCTCTCTCTCTCTCTCTCTCTTCTCGTCTCTCTCTCCTCTCTCTCTCTCTCTCTCACCTACGAGAAGCTTTTTCACTGAATTGCTCCCAAATGGGCAAAAATGGTTGAATCAAGTGGTTGTCCACGTCATTTCAACCCAAAAGAATCTATGTGATGACGTTGAATCAACATGGAAAAATGATTGGATTAGAAAAACGTCATTAACGTAAGGGAATTACTTATTTCTTCATCCAACTTTTTACTTAAATTCAATGACATGGTGACATTTGTTGTTGATTTCACGTCAGTTGACAACTCAACCAAATGTAAATCAAAACTAAACGTTGAACAAACGTCTGTGCCCAGTGGGTAGGTGGTGGTGGTGCAGCTGGATAGTAAGCAGAGGATCACTAGTTCTAGCAGTGGAAGGAACAGGGACAGTGAAGGAAGCTATACTGTTAGCAGTACAGTGGTGCCGGTTACAGAGGCAGAGGCCCAGCAGATCTACACAGGAGAAGAGCAACAGAGAGGGAATTAACTAGATCAGGCCACTGTCATGAAGGGGTCAGTCGAAGGACTATGGGCCTGTTTCCTGGAAACAGTCCTGCAATAAAAAAAAAGCATGATCAATGGAGAATCTCCATTTAAAAAGCTTTTCAGTCCAGATTTAGGCTTCATCTGTGTCCGGGAAACCACCCCAATATGTTTTGAACTAGAAATGCAATTGAAATGTTAGTGCACTAAATTATAACACTACGTAGTCTACACACCACTTTACACATTGTGAAATCCCTATTACAATTTAATGGGCCACGCTGCTAAGATGTAGTCTACACACTGCTTTACACGTTGTGAAATGACAACTACATTTTAATGGGCCATGCTGCTAAGAGGCTAGAATATATTAAAATAAAACATGATGGAAAACGTCTCATTGTGTAATTTGCAGGAAACGTCAGGACAGAAGACATGGGAAACTAGAGCGTCATTAAACATCAATGACATTCTTCATCAATGAGAAAACATGTCTGGCTTAATGTCAAGCTATGTTACTGTGTGCGTGCACTGCAGCCTATCCAGGCCTGATATTGGAGAGTGAACGCTTACAGCAAACATGCTGGTACACGTGATGTGTTATTGGCTGCCTGCAGGGCTCAGAGTAGGAACACTGAGTCTCTCCAGGACTGGTTGGATGGCTGCTCGCTAGTCGTCTTTGATGTCTCAGCCAGAACTCTTAGTTCACTGATCTAGGATCAGGTCCTCTCTGTCCATATACACTGAATAAAAATACAACCGCAACATGTAAATTGTTGGTCCCCTGTTTCATGAGCTGAAATAAAAGATATGGACAAAAACGTTTTTTCACGCAAATGTTGTGCACAAATTTTTTTACACCCTTGTTAGTGAGCATTTCTCCTTTGTCATGATAATCTATCCACCTGACAGGAGTGGCATATCAACAAGCTGATTAAACAGAATGATCATTACACAGGTGCACCTTGTGTTGGGGACAATAAAAGGCAACTCTCTTCCAGAGACACTTGAAACCCTACCTCTTTAAGGAATACCTGGAATAGTATAAAAGTAATCCTTCTACCCCCCCCTCCCCCACCCCCCCATAAAATAAAAAAGTGGTTGTCCCACTGGCTATCATAAGTTGAATGCAGCAATTTGTAAGTCACTCTGGATAAGAGCGTCTGCTAAATGAAGTAAATGTAAATGTAAAATGTGCAGTTTTGTCACACAACACAATGCCACAGACGTCTCAAGTTTTGAGGGAGCGTGCAATTGTCATGCTGACTGCAAGAAAGTCCACAAGAGCTGTTGCCAGAGAATTGAATATTCATTTATCTACCATAAGCTACCTACAACGTTGTTTTAGAGAATTTGGCAGTACGTCCAACTGGCCTCACATCCAAAGATCACGTGTAACCACACCAGCCAAGGACCTCCACATCCGGCTTCTTCACCTGTGGGATCGTCTGAGGGGGGTTGGGGCGAGGGTAATGAGGAGTATTTATGTCTGTAATAAAGCCCTTTTGTGGGGAAAAACACAATCTGATTGGCTGGGCCTGGCTCCCCAGTGGGTGGGCCTGGCTCCCCAGTGGGTGGGCCTTTGCCCTCCCAGGCCCACCCATGGCTGCACTCCTGTCCAGTCATGTGAAATACATAGATTAGGGCCTGATGAATTTATTTCAATTGACTGATTTCCTTATATGAACTGTAACTCAGTAAAATCTTTGAAATTGTTGCATGTTGCGCTCATGCTTTTGTTCAGCATAATATTATTCATTATGATCTAAAACTGATCCTAGATCAGCACTCCTCACTACTCTGAGATGCTTTGTGATTACAGGCCCAGGAGGCTGCTGCAGTTACAGATTTTCTGACTGGAGCTTTCCATAGTGATGTCCTTACACGTACAGACCCCGTCATGCATGGACCGCTACACTCATCCATCACGTTGATGAACAATGACTGGCCTGCAGTCAAGCTATGAGCTAAAAGTTAGGTCAACAAATCATTTAGAGTAAAGCAAAAAATGTGAAGTTCTCGCTGTACTATAATCATGAACTTCTCGCTCTCGTGCCTGCGCTCTCGTCTTGTCTCCACAAAACCGGAAACTCACACGCGAGAGAGAGATGGAGATGCGGAGCGAGACGAAGAGAGACGCTCCAGATTGCAGCGACGATAGCGAGAGTATATCGATAGCGGAGATAGAGTATTCGCTCGTGAAGTGACGACTAGTTCTATACTTCTCAAATATAGCTCTCCATTATAGCTCTCTCTCTCTATCTCGCT